AATCCATGACTATAAAATCTATAGATTCGAAAGGTTCCTAGACCAAAATTATAATAAATTACAACTTTGATATTTGAATGGTAATAATAAGTAGAAATAATTATAAAAAGTAATCATTTTGGTATTCGATCAAATTTAAAAAGGAACAGGTTTTGCGTATTATCTAATTATTAATTATGTTTTGACTGTTCTATTTATTGTATGTAAAAAATATATAACTTTTATTGGCTGAAAAAAATATTAAAAAAATAAATCTGCAACTTCACACTCCTTCTCTTGGAGTTAATAGAGTAGAGTGATTCTCTTTATTCAGTTTCCAATTATATTTTGAGAATAAAATATGTGTCAACCATAGTTGAATAAAAGCTTTTTAACCGATCCAAATTCAAAAAGGAGGAGGTTCTCAATTCGTCGGAATCTTTTTTTTTATGTATGTTCACCGATTAATCGAAGACGCCTGGACCGATTTGGAAATTTTTTCCGCCAAGTTGGTGCCAGCTTACAATATTTTAAGATATGAATATCTAATAGGTAAATATATTAGATTTGCTTTGCATCGGCTGGCACCGACTTCGAAAATGTCTGATAAGGTATCTATTCTAAATGAAAACCTCCGTTGAGTAATTTTTTACATTTCAGTGCCTAGAAGTCAGTTTTTATTTTTTCTCAAAAAGTTTTTATTAATTAATTAATGTTAATGCATAAATTCTTAAGTGAATTGAATCCGCTTCCTCCGAGTTTATATACAGTACAAAGCAGAAAATAATATTAATTAGTATATACGCGACTATCTGTTTACTAGTTAAGTCCTTTTACACAGGTTTAAAACAACATTATTTCAAGCATATTTTATCAGCCGCAGCGTGATAAATTTACTACTTTTTAATACACTACATCAGTAAAAAAATCTTAGGAATATATCACGTATTTACGTTTCTATTTACACTATCACACTTAAATTATAAAAATGCGCGATGATATAAGTCAATATACGTTTTGATAGCTTCTCCGCCTTATAAGGCTCGACAAATATAAGAGAAAATCGAAATAGTGGTATCTTAAATTTACATATAAGATAGACTATTCTTATCAGCGTAACTACCGAGAGACTAGAACCACAGGCGAGAATTGTATTATATAATACCTAATAGTATGCGGGTTGCTCCTGGTACTTTTCTAACTGCAGAGTAGACCGAGGGAACAACATCTTGGTTGTGTGGTCTGCTCCGGCAGACCGTTCGTTCAGATATCGTGGTTGTGTGTATAAGTGATCCTACGACGCCCCATTAAGATGGGAGAGATTCTGTTGGGTTTTAGTGGGTAGTACTGGCTTTTCTAGCCGGCGAGTCCCAGATAACCACCTGTAAGTATACAGGTAGTATACGTAAATGTATTTCCCGACATTAAAAAAAGGATAGAAGTACTTATTATATACATTGTTAAGCCTTATTGTGGTATCAAATTGTTGCGAACCAATGCTGGTTCTATAACACCTGAAATTCTGTATGTAGAGCCTAGATGTAGATGTTTTGTTTTTCATATCGCTTACATTCACACATTTTATGACATATTTTGGTTCGACTTGTGATAATATAGGCTTACACATTTTATTGTGGGAAACCCCACACTACGAGTATATAATCATTTTATTATATTTACTACAATTACCAGCTCTTTTTGTTTACTTTGCGAAATTTCCATTCTACCTACGACCTTATCATCTTTATCTTTATATATATATATATAATTCTTCTGTGAGTGTGTATGTCACTGAACTTCTCTCAAACGGCTGGACCGATTTTGATGAATTTTTTTGTGTGTGTTCAAGGGGATCTGGGAATGGTTTAGATTCACAATTTGAATAATAATTTTCATCAAAAAATTATTAAAAAAAGTTTGAAATTTTCAAATTAAAGACATGTAGACAGGACAACGTCTGTCGGGTCCGCTAGTATACTATATAATAGTGAGTTAAATAACAAAAGGTTTTCTTTAACTAGCAGATTTTCTAAGCTCCACAAGTAATATAAATGGAAAGTATATAGTATTTCATTTATTGTCCAGATTAACTAAATAACTAAGTGACGTATTCGTCTCTTCAATCGTAATTTATAAGTAGCAATAATATTTCTAATGCCGCTGAATGCAAAGTATCATAAATATAATATATATATATATATATATATATATATATATATATATATATATATATTCAATATATTTTTTTGTCAATTTCATATCAATAGCGTCGATAACGTGGTTTTATTTTAATTTCTAGCGTTCTGTAGCCAAAAGGTAAGAAGGGGACCCTCATAATTTCTCTATCCATGATCGTCTGTCCGTCAGTATGTCTGTATTGTATTGGAAGTGCATGACTGTATTTTTTTAAATAGGTGTATGATGTATCATGCGAACAAATAGACAACTCTGCATCAGAATAAAGAGAAAATCAGTCATGAGGACTGCCGACAGTGAAAATTTAAAACTATAAACAAATGGTTGTTATTTTTGGATTTCAAATAATTGTTTGATCTGAAGTTAAAATTTGTAAATTAAAACTGTTTACATTTATCTGGTTTTGATATCTATCGGCATTCTGAGTGTTAGCGTTAACATGTCACGTGACCATGTCGATGATGACTTACATAAATTTACTCTTATCCAAACCAGCCTATAGAAGTTTTCACTTCAAAAATAAAAAAGAGTTGGCAGTCCATACATGCATCTAAATGGTGAAAAAATATTACGAATATAAATATATATATATATAATACGAATTCTAAAACTAAATATTAGTGTTTCGTACTACGGAACCCTCAATATCGGACTGACGCGATTGATTTAATGTTATCATTTTCTTGTGATCGCATAAAATCTTCTCACATAAAATTTAAAAGACTTACAAATAATTAAAAAAAAACATTCTCACGGTTGCTCTCGACCACTTCATTTTCTTTGTCATAAATTTTATATATCTCTAACAAGAAATTAAATTAAAAATTAAAAAAAAATCCAAACACAATAATATATTCATTGAGTCCATTTTAATTAGTCGAAACATGATATCTCTGTAGTATTTTAGTAAAGACTAAGTATATAACAGATTCCAGATGACGCTGCAGAGTTGCTATATCGTTGCATTGTCATTGAAGAAACGGTATACCAAGTTTCAAATGAATTAGATCTGTAAAAGTTGCTCATATTTTTACTGTTAAAGAGCTGAACGGATTTTTTTGATTTATAGCTAACTAGTATTGCCCGCGGCTCCGCCCGCATTCAGGTGACCAAAAACCAAATTCTTAGGTTGTACATATCAGTATACTCTTACATTGCAGTTTTTGTATTTTTTCTCAGAAATGAGGTATTTTTCCAGGGTAAAAAGTATCCTATATGTTCACCCGTGATGCGGTAACAGACAGACAGACAAAAATTCTAAAAACTATAGATTCGGCCTCTGTATCGATTATATTGACTATTTCAATAAGATTTTCCAAAAAATATTTAATGTACAGATTCGACTCAGTTAGAATTTTATTATATGTATAGAAAACACTCGATCAAAAGTCACATTTCAAACAAAAAAAAATTAAAATCGGTTCATCCGTCTGGGCGCTACAATACCAGACATATAACCAGATACACAGAAACACACCTAAAACTTACAACAGCTGTTTAGTAGGCGAGGGTGAGTCGCTTAATTAGTTGCTATTGATTAATCTTTAGTTAAAATAAAATATAATCTCATATTAATTTATTCAAAATAGCATTACATTACACAACTATAGCTTCTAATCACAGATTAATATATTTGTATACAAAATATATAAAACAGTTCATTATGTACAACTACATAGGATTAATTTTCTTAATACTAATGAGTATTTCCTTAAGTGTCACGCTTTATTGCTTTCATCTTTTGGACGTCGTTTGTGCTTGTTCCTCTTATAAATTAATTCTATCGTCCAAAAAATTAAGACAATTCCGTAACAGGACGTTAAAATGTAGAAAGCTGTTAGGTAGCTATTTGTTGAGTCTCTGATAGCACCTGTAAATAAACCAAAATTATTATCGTAAATACAAAAAATACTTATTATCAATACAGATAAATAAAATTGTAGTGTCTGTTCGTAATGTTGAAATAAAAGTTTTTTACTAAATTCATATGAAATGTCTTATATGCTTGAGAGAGATATTTTATGTACTTTAGTATGTTTTATATGACATAAAAAATGTTTACTATATAATATGGCACCTAGTATGTTGATGGCATCAACACTTATAATGCAAGGTCAAAATTGAGTAAAAATGCTACTTGTTTTAAAGACACTATTACCGCCATTTTTTACCAAAAGTATTAGTGATGATGATAAAGATACTTTATGTCACTTGAAGAGGCAAAAAATTCCATAAATAAAGATATACATATATATATATACATATATATATATATATATATATATATATATATATATATATATATATATATATATATATATATATATATATTATATATTTTTAAAAGTATATACGAAGTTTAAGCGCACTGCTTTTACAATTTCTTGAAATGTTGGCACTATGTTTTAGGACAACTCTATACATATACACTCTTACATATGTATTGTAACGCTGGGTTCACACGGCATTGTCCTGCGCGTTTTTTTACAGGATACGTCTTAACGAATATATAGTGGCACATACATTGTACATAGAACCGTTCACACGTCTTTTGTACTGCACAAAATCGTACACCGTTTATACGTTTAAACGAATACTCACCGGACATTCAAGCAAATCGAATGAACTTTAACATATTCGGTTTGCAGTGGCGCATAGTTTAGCTCTGTCTCAACGTGCGAGAACTGCGGATATTCGTTTTTACATGAGTGAAATTCTACCGTGTGAACACCCGGCTGATTGTAGATTTAAAATCGAATACAAAAAAAACATACAGGACAATGCCATGTGAACCCACCGTAATATACCCTACGTCACGCTAGTTAATACTTGCCTATAATAGGTCCCAAAACCATAGTAAATAAACCATAGATTGCTAAAAACACGCCCATAGCTGAGGTGAATTTTTCTTCTGCTACAGCGTCTGCCACCACCATTGGTACCAACATTAGCATTGAACATCTAGACATTCCTGATGTTGTGATAAATACTAATATCAATGTCATATTAACAGACCAGAACATTCCTGAAAGTGAAAAAGAGATATTTTAATTTTTTGCATTTTTTTCATATTAGGTATAACTACATTATAATAATACTCGTATGTGGACATGTTCAAAAAGACATTGTCGTACAATTACGTACGTATTAGTTAGCATGACGTAGACGTAGGAAAACATAATTTCATTTATGTATGACTAAGGGTAGTACCGTAGCGTGAAGTTACATGGGAAAGCTATGTTACTTATTACGTAGCTTTCCCATAAATCCCACTGAACGGATTTTAATGAAACTTTACAGTAAACAGCTTATACAGATACACACATCAGAGTAACACAGACTATAATTTATAAAAATATAGTAATGTATACAATTGAAATACGCAGGCGGAGCTGTAAATAAATAAAATAAATATGTTGGGACATTAACACACAGCACCATCTAATTCCATAGTAAGCTACGAGGCTTGTGTTATGGTTACCAGATTGTTAATACACTACACATATATAACTTTAAATACATACATATTATAAATATAAACACCCATGACTGGAGTACAAATATTCGTGCATATCACACAAATAAATTCCCCTAGCGGGATTCAAACCTGCGACCGCTGACACAACAAGTAGGGTCACTGAGCTATGAGCTAGAATGCTAGCAAGCTATAAAATGTGAACGAATTTTTCAAATTAGATTGGTAGTTCTATTTAGCGCATTCAAACAAACAAAAAACAAAGCCTTCAGCTTTACAGAATAGTATAGATAAGGCACGTACCAAGTCTGGAAATGAAAGCAATCGCCAAACCAGCGACATAAATCTCATGGCTTCCTATGTCTTTGAGCCACTTGTGCAGGAGTATGAAAAGAATTCGCATCACTAAATCTCCAGTAGCATTGAGAGAGAGAGCAAACGCTACATCACTCTAAAAGTAAAATATAGTGATTATAGTAATTAAGACTTAATTAAATAGATCCTCTCACTGATCTTACAACCAAACTCACATTCCTATTTATACTTATTTAAAAACAAATATTGCAAATATTGGCTGTTCGTTCGCCGGACTATTATGATTTACTAGCGACTCACTCTCGCTTAGCTCGGGTTCGTCCCTAGGTACATTTTAATTTTTTTGAGTGGAACTCTAATTCTTTTTCTAAAATAAAAGTAGCCTATGTTACTCCCTATAACATCAGCTATCTTCCAGTGAAAGTCCCGTTAAAATCAGTCCAGCCGTTTCAGGGATTATTCGGAACAAACAGACAGACAGATAAAAATTTAAAAAATTGTGTTTTTCTTATAAGTACCGTATATAATTTCATATGCATTTATTAAAACACTGTTATTTTGACATTACAAACAGACACTTCAATTTTATTTATCTGTATAGATAATTGCGATGTTTTCTGTATTCAGTTATAACGATTTTTAGGCGCTGTAAAAAAAAAGAAGAAAAAAAGTCCAACAATTTTTTAAAGGATTTCTACGTCATAATAAAATAGAACAATTCTTACTGAAACATCATTAAAACTGTTTGTTTGTAGCCGTTATTGCCAGTTATTTAACTACTAACTTACCTCGGTCCAGCCTATAGAATATAAGGCTTGTGGAAGCATTATTGTTAATGTAAGATCAGCAAATATACATAAAGCAAGTCCAACAGATGCGTTTGACAAAAGATAACTTCTCAAAAATGGAACATCTATAGATTTTTCTATAAAACCCCTGAAATAAAAATTAATAATTATCGTGTTATTATAATTATTTCGAATGGAGTAATAACAATTTTCTTTTTAAACAGAGATAAATAGTCTTTTCTAAGCTTTTTTATTTCAATGAAAGCAAATTTATTCTAAACCAATAATTTGTATCGGCATAGGAAATATTTTTAAGGGACTTTTACGTATCGATTTAAAAGTAATATTTTTAGGTTTTAGGCATACTGTGTGTAATTAATCATTATCTCTGAATAAATTAATAATTTCTCTCATCAATTTCAATAAATAAATATATTATAAAAATAAAAAAACCCAACTGATATTATGTAGTCAGAGACATACATACGAGTATGTACATCTCGCGTTAAAGATGAAATGTGTATGTCTCCGACTGCATAATACTATATTCCTTCGTTAACTTGTTTTCATATGTTTAGTTAGCTTTTATGCAGTCGGGTTTTTTTTTGTCATAATATATTTATTTACGAGTATTTATAGCTTTTTAAGTATTTTTAAGTAGAAAAATTAACAAGAATGGTTGTTGACTAACTGTAAATCAATATATATCCTAAACTGTTATTTCAAATGAAAAATTATGAAAAAAACCTAAAAATGATCTTTAAATACCTATTCAACGATACCCCACTTGACATAGTTCGTCGCTTTTCATTTTTTTCTTTTTCACATTATGGAATCTAGCAGCCCCCCCCCCTTTTTTTTTCTATGTCAATTAAAGAAATCCATCGAGTGGTTTGGAAGATATGAGGGAATAAAAAATATTACAAACATACAAAGATGGACGCGAAAAACATAGCCCTTTCCTTGCAGTCGGGTAAAAACATAAAAATAGTGAGTACGTGTAGCCTTTACCCACGGTAAACATTCAATCAAATTGAAACAAATCAAAATAAAATATATTTTTAAATAATAATTATTATAAAAATAATAATATATTTTATAATTATTATTAAAATATAAACATAATATTTTTAATTATTAATTGGAATCTCGACTTTCTAATGCATTGGCTTCCCCTCAGTCACGTCTAAAGAAGTTTTACTTAAATAAAATAAATATTCCACATATAGACGTGAAAATTTTCTTTACTTTGTGACCATCCTCAGGGTCTATTCATTATAAAACAAACATCAAAATCGCTTCACACATGCAAAGATGACATAAAGTACCAACACAAAAAAATTAAGTCGTTTCAATATACATTATTTATGAATATGTTCTGCTTCTTTAATATTAGTATTGTTGTTGTGGCTATATAGGTCAAACTTACTTTAAGCCTTTATTATGCTTTTGTAACTGCTCTTCAAGAATGTGTTTCTCGTCTACACTTTCAGTTAAATTTTTTGGAGGTGTTTTAAATGATGACGTAAGATCTTCTTTGTTGTTTTCCTTTTCTATTGCCAAAAGAGATTTTTTTTCTGAAACATATATTTTTTTAAGATATTTAAATAAGATATTTATTAAGTAAATTCAAGTTTAGTTTGACGACAATTATTGCTTAAACAAAAATGATAAGCTGCCTATCGATTCCCACTTACTGTTTTTTTATAATTAGTATTAAAGTATTCGTTATTAGAAAACGTTTATATAATTTTGATCTTGTTACATCGTTATATTTGATTTTATTTATATTTTGTTAAGGAACTAAAATTTTGCAAGGAACGGTTCAAAAATTACTCTCTAACTAACATGTTGGACTTATAAAAGCAAATGTAATAAACCCAAGCTCAAAGTATTTTATAGTAGTCACATCCATCTATATATATATATATATATATATATATATATATATATATATATATATATATAAAGGAGTCAATATTTAATTAATAGATTTGTTCTTATTTTTTGTTTTTTTTTTATATCACTCTATAGGGGCTTTATCTAATATACAAGTAAAGAAAGTTACGAGTAAAAGTAAGTTAATTTGACACGTTTGGCTCAGTTTTTAATGACCCTACATACTGTGCCAGCGGTCGCGGGTTCGATTCCCGCTGGGAGCATTAATTTGTGTGATAAGCACGAATATTTGTACTCCAGTTATGGGTGTTTATATTTATAATATGTATGTATTTAAAGTTATATATGTGTAGTGTATCAACTATGCGACATCCATAACACAAGCCTCGTAGCTTACCATGGAACTATATGATGCTGTGTGTTAATATCCCAACAACTAGCCTCTCTACCCTCTTTCTTGATATCGATTTAAAACTACCAAACCGACATTGTTACACGATATTTAAAAAAATATGTACATTTTACGTTTTAAATCTTATATAATATGTATTATGTTAATATATCATAATATGTATTATGTTAATATAAATATTTAAATTATTAATTTACCATTATCTTCGTTTTCAGGTACTTGAATTCTCTTCATATGCCACTCAACCGGTTGCAATAAAACCATTCCGATGATATTTTGCATGGATACACCGGCTATAAGGAGTAGAGTTCCTCTTAGGCCATATGTGTCGAGCGCCCACTTGATGAATTGAGGTACGAATAAAGTTACTACACCTGAAATTTGTACATTTATATTTTCAGAAGTTTAAGTGCTTATTGCTCGATTTCACCAACGTCACCTAAGTTTAAGGGATCCCCTGAGCATAATTAGGACGCTGTTAGGGGACAGTTTCTGTTTCACCGACAGTTAGGGGTCACCTAAATATTAAAATGCTAAATTTAGGTGCTCAAAATATGGGCTTAAAGACCATCGCAAAACGATATTTAATTTAGGGGCTAGTTTAGGGGACTTTTAAGCTAGGGATCCCATACGTAGGTGGTAGCTTATGGGTTGTTGGTGAAATCGGGCATATATGTAGTAGCCCTTACTATGAAAGTGTATTTAACGAAATACACAGAATCCTACTCTTAATTCAGGCAGTTGAAGCAGGAGTAAGTTACGTGCATTCTGAGATAAATAAGTACTTAATCTATTAAACCTGTGATGGTATTTTCTTACAACAAAATTTATAATCATCATATTTTTATTATTTTATTAAATATAAGTGCTAGTGACCCGAGCTTTAAGTAATTGTAGATGGAAAAATAATGGCATATATCACCCCATTATTTTTCACTTTTATCTATATAAAGATAAAGCATACCAGGTTCTGATATACAAGACTTACTATGATGATGATGATGATGATGTTCTCCTAGCCGATTCCGGCTACGGCGGCCAATCTCATTGAGATTAGCCAACTGCGCAGGAGATATTATAGTGCTCAAGTGTACGCGCAGACACAAGTGCACTCTCTATTCCTATCACTCTCATACTCCGGTGGGACGACCACTCGACACGACCGGTGAGAGTTAAGGCGCAGGACCGACGGCTTTACGTGCTCTCCGAGGCAGGGGGGTGAAACACCGCCAACTTCCCAACTCCAGGCTGTTACTGAGACTTATTATACAGAAAGACTCAATAACTAAACTTGGCCCGACCCGGGACTCGAACCCAGGACCTCCGGGTGTGCAGCCGTACATGCTAGCCACTACACCACCGAGGCAGTTAAGACTTACTATATAGGTATAGTTACTTCAAATTTTGAATTGAATAACGAAATACTTGTTTCAATTACGTGGGACATTACTTACCCACAATAGTTTGCGTGAAACTGACAGCCAAGAGCCTTTTCTTAACGAAATAGTTGTTCAGCACTGTGAACGACAGATTGATTATTATTCCATTACCAAAGCTCTGAAATAAAGTATTTAATTTTTTTATAATGTAATGTAATAAAATAATAATCTATACTAATATTATAAAGAGCTAAAGTTTGTGCGTTTCTGAGTTTGTGAGATTGTGAGTTTGTGACATTGTGAAGATGAAATTTGGTAAGAAGATAGTTTTGAGACCCTGGAAAGGACATAGGATATCCCGGAAATCATCCGTTAAAAGAGTGAAAATGGGGATGAAAGTTTGTATTGGGAAGCAAGCTAGTAATGTTATAGACTTATGAACAGTGTTTTTTTTAAATCATCTTAAATTCTTTCACTGACAGACAACGTACAGTCTAAACCGCTAGCTCTAGAGCTATAACAGTATTTTAAACTACGTGGGTAAAAAAGATAAATTAGAAAATCACTTTCAGAATATCAGAAAAAACACGGTTAAAAAGAGGAAGCTAAAAGCTTATATTTAGTAGTAATTTTTTGAAGTTTACAATATATCAATTGATATATAGGCTTTTATTAAAATTACTAATTAATGGAAAAGTCCATATATCTGTTTATATAAATATATGATTCGCATATCTGTTTATATGAATATATTATCACTTTTTAAAACTTTTATAATAGGCGACAAAATAAATAATAACATATTTCTATTTATTACCTGACAAATTCCCATACATATGATAAATGTAATTTTTGATCTTACAAAAACAGTCAAAATGTATCCCAAATTGAGAATAATCACCGACACTAATCCCAATTGCCGGATCGTCAAAAACCTTAAAATTGGACTAATCATAAATCCTGAAAAAGAAAAAATTAAAAAAAAACTTAATTTAAAAAATATATCTTTTGGGACTGTTCCGCGGATTTATTTTGATTTTTGGTTCCCAAAATCAAAAATCAAAATTAAAAAACTGAAAAGATAGTTTATTTTACTTAAAATGTCAAATATTCGCGTAAATCTAAAAAAGTATTACATTCTTAATTCTTTTGCCTCATATAAAAGAAATTATACATCTTATTTAAAAAACGATATGTATTATAGCTTTATGTTTTCCTTTTACTGAGTCGAGTTCCTCAGCTCTCTCCTACTGTTGAGAGACCAGCGTATCAGAGACACCTTCGAGACCACACTTTATCTCAATTAAACCAGAACAAATATCTCCCACTAAATTTCATGCAAATTGTTAAAAGTCATTACTTTCTTACTGACTTAAAAACGTAGCAAGTACTTTATTCTATACGATATGTTACTCGATATTTTCGCCCATTATGAACCAACTTAATAATTGTTTTTTTTTTAATTAATAAGTTATTACCCTACTACAGCGAAGCCCGAAAAGTCTGCGAAAAGAGTCTGTGTTTGACTTGCATATATCTAATCTACATGTACGTAAAAATAAAAATTATAAAAACTTAAAAAAAAATTACTTCGCTTTTTATTTTATTTTTTTAAGTTTTTATTTTTCCATTTTTAGTGTAGACTTAATAAGCAGGTAATTTGTAAGAAGAAAGTTTTTTTAATTACATATTCGATTAAATAATTTATTTAAAAAAAAATTATTGTTGATTTTTTAAAAGACAATTTTCAATAAACTTTCAACTTCCGATAAAATTTATATGGGACCACCTGGTAAGTATACCCATTGAAACAAAAAAAAAGTCTAAATCGGTTCAGGCGTCTTCGAGTAATCGGTGAACATACATAAAAAAGATTCCGACGAATTGAGAACCTCCTCCTTTTTGGAAGTCGGTTGAAAAGCTGTAGCAATGCTCAGACAATATAGGTACATATTATGTCTCCGACTGCATGACGTCTCTTATTCCCATGTTTTTATTTCATCTTTTGCATTTTTTATTTATCTTTAAGCCTCACAAAAGCAGATTATGCCTCGATGCGATTCCAAGAATCAATGTGATATACCTACCTGAAATGGCCATAGTAACAGCGCTTATGCCGTTCATCACGGTGATATCCGTAGAGTTCATTTTTAGTTCAAGATATAATTGGTTGTATATCATCCCAAAGCTTGGTATGAAAGCGTGTATTGTAGTCTGTAAATTATATATTAAATTTATTTGGCACAAGGATACACAAAAATTATTTAGAAATACATAATATGTCAGTCTCTTTTAGAAAGTTTTATCAAAATCCGGTCAGCTATTATCAAATAATGTATAAGCAGTCGGATAGATCTATATCTAAAATCTGTATGAGGTCCGGGTTTTCGAATTCAATTAACTTTATTTTTAAGCGATTGCATCTCAAATGAAAATATGAATAGTGAGTTGTGAGAATCCTGGAATACGTTCAAAAAGCTTCTAATGCTAGATGTAAAATCGTGTTAAAGTTTTAAGTATTACATGAAGATTTAGATTTGTTACCTATTCTACGTGATACTTTTTACCCTAAAATATCTCATTTCTGAGAAAATATATATAAATTGTAATGTAAATAAACTACTATGTAAAACATAAGAATTTGGATTTTGGTATGCTAGTATTATATAATATTCATACCTACCTACTAATTTGATTTTTATTTAATAAGAAGCAATAACGTCCTTACGTGAAATTGCTCCTTACTTTATACAAATGTTAAAAATAATAATAATTACAGTGGAGTCAAAGATGAACTTCAAATCCTACTTATATTAATAAACACGAAAGTTTGTATGTATGGATGTATGTAACTTACTCTTTCACGCAAAAAGTACTAAAAGGTTTTTGATAGAACTTTACAATAATATAACTTAGGTATAGATCAAAGTAATACGAGTATATAGGCTACAGAATTGCCCGCGGCTCCGCCCGCGTTCAGATGACCAAAAACCAAATTCGTAGGATTTAGGTACATATTAGTATACTCTTACATTGCAGTTTTTGTATTTTTTCTCAGAAATGAGACATTTTTCCGCGGTAAAAAGTATCCTATATGTTGACTCGGATAACCAGCTATTACCATACCAAATTTCATCAAAATCCCTCCAGTGGTTTTTCTGTGATGCGGTAACAGACAGACAGAGAGACAAAAATTCTAAAAACTTTAGATTCGGCCTCTGTATCGATAATAATGTTTATTTCAATAAGATTTTCCAAAAAATATTCAATGTATACAGATTCAGCTGAGTTACAATTTTATTATATGTATAGATTATCATGACATACAGGTAGTAAGTAATAAATAAATTAAAAATGCGCATAAGGAGCCGCAGGAAACCGCTAGTACTTCATATTTACTTGTCATCTTTTTTCTCTTATCACAGGATAATAAATAAAGCTTAGTTGTTATATAATTATTAAATATAGATAAGAAGTACAAAATGTATATAATTATAAGAAGAAGCGGAAATAACTAGTAATATAAATGATTTGTTTTTTTTATTGCTAAAATATACGTGAGTTTTATTATTAAAAAGGTTTTTAAAAACTTTAAGAGAATATAACGAGAAACTTAAGATTAATCTTACATAAAATTTATCTGATTATGTTCATTTCATTGATTGTTAAGTATTATTTGCTATAATTCCAAAACCAACCCCCCCACTCTCCCCTCCCCTTCTTCCATTCGTATTTTTTAAATTGAACAAATATAAACTTTAGCGGAATTTACCTAATATCGTTACTTTAGAAGAAAAGCAAAAAAATTCTCTTTTTTACATCTAGAATAACATTTTTTTCAAAATTCTAAGTCTAAGTCACAGCACTTTTTTTTGTTTAGTTCAAAAAGTATTGTTATATCTCATATATAATAAATAGCGCATGGCACTCTGCTATCTCCCCGTAAGGGATAAAGAGTAGAGTTACGTATGTATGTATTTTATTGTAATAAAATCTTTACTTCCTGTTATTAACATCTCGAAGAACGCATGTTTTATCAATAATTTTAAAAGGTCAGAATAATATAACCTTTATATAAAGCGATTAGAGACAACTTAAAAGTAGATATATATATATATATATATATATATATATATATATATATATATTCAAGTATATTCTGCCCAATTTCTACTTTTAAGTATGCATAAGCAGAGACTTTTGAAATTGATATGATAATAGTTTAATTCCGCATCCTTTTATTAGCAAAAAAAACTTGGCCTGTTTTTGTTTTGATAGATTACTTCTTACAATTTCAATTGTATATATCTCTCTTCTTCATTTTTGCATTGCACCTGTTATTTTATTTATAATGACTTACCAAAATAATAGTTACGGCTACGCCAATAACGTAGCCCCATCCTCCATCTGGCGGTACAAGTTCATATTTTTTACTTTTTGATACTTCTTGTGCACTCATATTGCGTACATACACTAAAATACTGACGATAAATGAATCTTGAATCAAATATATCATCTTGGCTTTTTATCTCATGTCAACAATCTTCTAGACAATTGACGCAATAGCAGGTAGAATTAGTATATTTAATTAACTAAAGTTCCTTTATTACAATATTATAGTAAGGAGCTACTATAATGTAAAGTATAAATAACATGTTAATAAATTTTTACTTTTTTTACTTTTTGCCATAAATATATTACTTTTACTGTATATACTTATTGTATTTATTAATTCTTAATTTAAAATCCTCACAATCACGATAAAGAAAACTAAGAAATGTATTTAGATATGATAAACCTAAAATAGGTTTTAAGTATAGTTTATATTAAATATATACTATATTACTATATAATAAACAAAACAAATATTATTATAGGAAACGAACAGAAGTAAAATAGTCAAAATATTATACAATAGGTACATTTACATACAGATAACAGTATCTTAATTAGTTCATAAAGATGAACGATAATTATTATTATAATTTATCAATTATTATTATTATATAATAATCAAATATGTGTGTTTGTAAAACGAGTTAATAATTAATTAATCTATACAGATAAATAAAATTAAAGTGTCTGTTTGTAATGTCAAAATAACAGCTTTTTACCAAATATTTTTTTCAAAAAAATATGGATGTATACACGGTACATATACCAAAACAACATTTTTTACATTTTTTGTCTGTCTGTCTGTTTGTTCCGGCTAATCTCTGAAATGACTGGACCGATTTTGACGGGGCTTCCACTGGCAGATAACTGATGTAATTAGAAGTAACTTAAGCTACTTTTATTTTAGAAAAAAAATAGGGTCTCACGAAAAAAAATTAAAACCAATGAATAATTTAATAATATCCGATTCAAATTGGGAAGTTGTATACATACCCTAGGGACAAATCCAAGCGAAGCGAGGGTGAGTCGCTAGTTATAAATATTTAATGCCTAATTGTTGTAAATGTCTTGTGACTGATTTTGGCCTCGGCGACCAATCTTACTAAGCCTAGCCATGTACATACGTATATGCACAGAAGATTTCATAGTGCACAAGCATGTACGTAAACACAAGTGCACTCTATATTACCTATATATACTTACTTATATACTTACTATATATACCTTTCATTATCAAAGTCGGATTTGACATGGCGTCTATCAATACCTAAACAAATAAGAGAGCAAGAACAACGGCTCTACGCGCTCTTTGAAGCTCGGGGATCATATACTACCTAATTGCAAATCCCGAGCAGATACTGAGATTTTTAGACAGAAAAATCCAACAACTTATCCCATACTGGGGTCGGAATTTAGGACCTTCGGTTCTACGGTTCGTTCTAATGAATATATTGCATAATAGTTTTAATTACTAACATTATTATCTTGTAAAAAAGTTTGTATGAACATTCCATTATTATCTGAAAACTGATAGGAACTTATATTTATATTAAACTGTGTATAATTAGTTAATAATGACATTGAGTTCACTTATTTAATCTTAGAAAAGACTCTGCGACACGAACGATGAAAAATGTTTAAAATCATCGTGACTCCAGATATTATATTCCATACACACATTACGTTGCATATTAACCATATCTAAAGTCAATCTTAGTACTAGACTTTTTTCATTCTTTCGCTGTCATTTTTATTCACCGTATTTTAGTAGTTTCCACTAACTTAACACTTTATATCTTAATCAAAACTATCTCTGATACTGCAGTAAACATAACCTGCCACGTCGTTCTATGTTTGGTAGCTTTTGAAATTCATTAATGTGTTACACCATTTCCATTTTACGCGCACTACTTTACATGACCGCCGCATAATAGACTTACAAAGTAGACTTCATATTTTTTTTAAGTATCAAGAGGATCATTAACAAAATGATTACTTAAAATACCTACAACACATAGACTGAAGATTTTTTTTATTAAATAATTTTTAAGTAAACCGGCTGAGTCGCTAAGAAAATCAAGTGAAAAGGTCTAAAACCGAAAAATATTGTAAGGTAATTGGTGTAATTTTCAATTTTTTAATTGTGGGTAGGCTGTCTGTAACAACCATACCTTCAAGACATGTAACACCTCAGTCTCTCCCGTTACCATGATTGCTGTAAAGCATTTGAAACGTCGGGAACCAAAAATCAAAATAAATCCGCGAAATAATTCGAAAAGATAGTTTTATTTAAAATGTCAAATATTCGCGTAAATCTAAGAAAGTATTATTTAATATAATTTTTGCTAACCGACTACCACAGGTCATACTTATGGTACATCAGTATTATTACATACAACACAGTACACTTACAAAACAGTAAATAACTCATATATCTTAACCGTTTCCTTACTTAAATCGTCATCGTCAGGTAACTAGCCCTACTACTTTTCGAAACCGCCGCCGCACGTAACCAGCGTCGTGGACTAAGGCCTTAATATCCCTCGCTCTTGATCACATTCAGGTAGGCCCGTGCCCAGCTCGTATATTTTATATTTTATTTTATATCTAGGTATGTATGTCTGTCGTGGTGGGGGGGCTCAGTAGTAGTAGCGAAGCTAAGAAACGCACAGGGAGGTTGCCCATTTCGGTGGGCGGTGGGAGGTGGCCCTCTTTGGGGGGCGGTGTACCATGCGGGTTGCTCCTGGTACTTCTCTGATAGCAGAGTGGACTGTGGAGCAACCCCATGGTTGTGGTGGTCTGCTTGGGCAGACCTGCCGTCGGGGCGTCGTAGTTGAATGCGTAAGCGATCCTGCGACGCCCCATTAAGACGGGGGAAGATTTTGTTGGGTTGTAGTGGGTAGTACTGGCTGTATTACGCCGGTGAGTCCCACAAGTCGTGCGTAAATGCATTTCCCAACGTTAAAAAAAAAAAAGGTATGTATGTCTATTATATTACATTTTTTATAAATAAGTAGGTACTTTATGTCCTTGAGCCGGTACATTTTCTTATTATGAAAAATGACTAAACAATCTCTTGTTGATATTAGCTAGAACCACAAAAATATAAATTTAACCGACATAATAAAGATATGATTTCCGTATATCATACATTATAATGCACTTTGAAAGTTACTTCTTATATTAAAAGCCTAATTTATTTCTTTTTTCAAGAATTGTTATAATTTTTATAGTTGTTTCATAATCAAATAACTTTTATGACTTTTCCATAATAATTAATGCTAACCCGCTATTCACACACGGATCAATCTGACAAATTGGTCTTTGAACAATCACATTACGACTAATCCGTAAATAGAAAACAGCTTTTACAAGACGCTTAAAATGGGATCCCAAGCACGCTCTCTTAACAGACAGACACCGCCAAACCCGATAGATGCTCACAAAATTCGATACATAAAACGTTTCAAAAACTAAAAATAGAAAGAAAAGCACAATAATAAAAGTTTAAAAAGTTTTATTTGTTTAGCTATCTTTTTGTATTTATTTAGATTTTTGGTTCCCGACGTTTTAAATGGTATACAGCAATCATGGTAATGAGTGGCATTGGTCACCGTCGGGAACCAAAAATCTAAATAAATCTGCGAAAAATCGACAAGACAGTTTTATTTAAATACAAAATGTCAAATAACGGCGTAAATCTAAGAAAGTAATATGTAATTCATAAATTGTTATTACTCGTAATATTTATTTAACACACTTTATCTTTTCTTTCATATTGAAATAACTAAAAATATAAACTCTAAGAAGTACACTTAATAGTACCTTTCGGCACAGTAATTGATATAAAAATATAGTTAGCGGCGTCAATTACTACACTCTAATGAGTAGTAATGAACGTATTCCGTCTTTATCTCAGCCAAAAGACGAACCGTACGTGTTGTTTGCTCGTAAAGTCTTTAGAGAAGTCTTGTTTTATGAAATATATTATTTCGTATCAAATAAAGTCAATTATTAACAAAATATTATAAAATATTTCAAATAAAAGACCTAAATATCTTTCGTGGACATAACTCGTAGCTTTAAACGAGACCCAGTGCGCCTGACACACAATTTTCCTTTTACACAAGTGTACACTATTTCAATTTATTTTAACAACTCAATAAAATTTTAAGTGTAAAGTATATAAACAAAAATTTGTTTTAGTGTTGACATGAAAATAATATGTTTTAGAAGAACTAAATAGATAGAACTATCTATGATACAGCTCAGATATAAATATTAACATTACATTTTTGAAGTTACCAAGTTGATGTTACGCTTAAAATATATATTATATATGCCACTCAAACGTTGAGTACGTTTGAGTGTTTGTACGTTGAACGTTTTTTGGGTACTTACTATTCCCAAAACTACACTTTCTAATATAATATATTTGCGGAAATATGGATAGTGGATATGAATAGAGTGGAATAAAAAAAATTATTTATTATGCCTATTGAAATAAAATAGCAAAACCGGCTAAAACACTATATAACCTTAATATTATTATTTTATTTTCATACTATCATTACTTTTAGTATTGTTATAATAATAATGTTTGCCGTAAAATATTACCTATTGTAGTACATACATTATAAATAAGTACATAGTGCAACGAATATGGACGTCATTAACGTATATTTTATTAAATTTTATATATATATATATATATATATATATATATATATATATATATATATATATATATAGTGTAATTTCTTTATTCTATTACTAAAAAAATGGTAAATATTAATGCTAATGTTATATGTACATATATAGCAAAACGTCTGTTCCGGCGCCCAACAAAGACGACGGTAGACAGTTATCGCATGACCCCTGTTTGACCCTACCCTGCCATATTTACAAGAATATACGCTAAATTATAAAAAGCAACGATTATCTTAGAAATATTTTTTTTTTTCAGCGATTGAGTCTGGTCTTAAATTATGTGCTACTAAGTTTTACTAGACTATTATATATCTCGTATTGTTAAAATTTGGAAATGCACACGAGCGAGAGAGG